AGCTGCACTTTTCTATTGGTCTTACACTGCATTTGTCTGCTGCAAAAAGCTCAAGGAAACTGCATACATTTCCTTTGAAGAAAACATCTACAGGGCATCGTTTCCTTACACTACTAAAGAGAATATTTTTCTTTAGGATATTTGGCATTATTGTTGCCTTTTAAGTAATACACCTTGAGAATTCAATTAAAATGCAGACTTTTTTAAAAAATAAGGAAGTTTTTTTAGTATTTTTAAGTAAGAAATAGGTTCTTTTTCAGCACTATCCTAAAAGGATTTTTCCTCTTTGAATCGAGCATTTCAATCTCTACTCATCTTTTTGTGTCCAGCTACACACGAAGGCTGGAAGGACACACCTGATAACTCAAGAACAAAGGATGCACTGAAAAATATCCTTTATGCTGGTGCTCAACAGAAACTACTCCACTGACTTCCAAAAGGAGGCAAAATAAGGATGGCAGAGACCTTCGCCTCACCTCAGGTACAATATTCGTGACTGAACGATGAATCGGAATAGGTACTTCAGGGCTTTCAGAGCAGCAAACAGTAATTCTGTCTTGCTGGAGTCATCTGCATTTCCTACATAATGGTTCAGTACTTTGGTGAGCTTCCTTTGAAAGTAAAGAGAAAAGAAAAGAAAAACAAATATAGCCATTAACTTCTGCTGCAAGTCCAGCTTCCTTATTCTGGAGAGGAACCACAATCTGATGTTTAGATAACAGCCAGGGATTCCTATTCATAATTTATTTAATTCTGAACCCTTGGTTTCATGGGGTGTCAGATTTTCAAAACCAGTTAGCGAATTCCCAAGTATCTAGCCCAAAAAAATGGCCATTAGCTGCATCTACAAATTCCAACATCTTGACCTGCTTTCCATTTTCTGTTAAATGAAGGGTTCAGGAGGCTGGAAGACCCCTTACAGTTTACAGTAGATTCAGACCTTCTCCGTATGCTAGCATTTTCCTATGCCAAAAGAGAAAAATTATGTGGAGCACAAAGGGCCTTTGAGCACCTTCACTGAGCGAGTGCCTTGAGAGCCGTGGACGGAAGCTGGGCAGCTGAACTATTGCTGTTTGCTGTCTCGCCTCCACAAGGATCAGGTGCAAGACCAGGATTTTACAGCTCCCAGCATTTTACAGCCCCTTTATTAGAAGCGGGCGAGAGCTCTAATATTCAGGCACAGCCCCCTTCATGAAGCAACTCACAGCACCCGAAGTGGGTACAGGTGAGAGCCAAGTACACATCAAACCCTGCTCCTGCTTGCTACATGCCCGCATCTAATTCCTGGCTTTGTCAAACTCTGGCACGAGGAGCACACAGAGGACACCTCAGAACATTCTACTCCACTTGCCATTAAGTGGGTATCACGTTTGCAAGCCAAGCTGGAAAGCAAGGCAAGGGAACAAAAAGCTAAGACACAGCATGGCCATTAATCAGACAAAGAGGTTTATTTATAGTAGACAGGAATAAGAATGATGAATCTTCTCCAGGCCACAAGGAGAGGAAAACATCCACAAGCC